AAAACGAAAACCCCACCAACTTTAATAAATAAATTTTGGGGGGCGCCTTGTTCCCGCAGCTGGGGATTCTACCAGGAGGGCAGCTGGAGGCTGACTCTTTCACTGCCTGGAAGGACACTCCAGAATGAGGATGTAGGAACCTGACACATCAAAACTGAAATCCTGCAACGAGCCCCAAGATCAGGAGGCAGTTCCAGGGAATACAGAGGAAATGTCAGACCATCAGCTAAAGCGAGTCCACCTCCCGGACTTGAAGACAGAAGCCTCCCACCTAGCCCAGGGCTTTGTTTCAAGCCCCCTTCCATCATTGTCAGGGATGTCATCACAGTCAGTTGGCGGGGCGGGGCGGGGGGGGGAGGTGCTACACCTGGGGTTGAACCCATTGCTTCCTACCCAGGATTCCAGATGTCAGTAGAGTCCTGGACCAATGTCTTTTCTTCCGTGTGGTTGAACTGCCTCACTCAGACACACCTCGTTTTTGTTAGGTAGCCTGGGACAGGTGCACAGCTGACATTTTTTACCTCCCCACAAGAGTGCTATTTTGGGTAGGCATGAAATCTCCTGTGGGGAAACCCATTGTCCTCAGCGTTATTTTTCTATTCTAGCCCTCCTGTTCAAATAGATAGAGACATTTTGATTCCCAGACAGAAATGGCTACAGGGATGCAACTGGGTACTGGCTTCTCCAATTTAGATCGTGCCATACACCGAGGGGTATTAGAGACAGGGTTAAGCCTTGCCCTAAAAAACGTCGAATACCATGAGCTGAGTAGGAGGCTGGAGGACGTCGGAAGGTTCCTGACGCCGCCAACATCCCCACACCTAGGGGTCTTTGCTCAGGTGTCAGGAATTCTCGCCTAAGTGCAGTTGAACTCGATTTGCAATTTTCCAACACTCCTAGGACCCGTGTTTTCATTCACCGAGATGGGAGTACCCTCCAACCAGTGCTCCTTCTCCAAGGTCTGATCTCAGCCCCATGGGACTCTCCTCGGGGTTTTGGAGGCAGCAGTAACCCCCTCAGAAGTCTGACTTCCACAGGGCGTCCCCTCCAGCACCTACATTTTGAGAATTCCAATTTCCTCCCTTGGTCCACCCCCACCCCCCAAGCCCTAGGGTGAATGGCTGTCTCTGTGATAATCCGGGTTTCCTCTGCCTATGGAGTTCTATAATGCCCAGTGACCAATTCTGAATGTTTTGATGATGAGATGATGATGATGATGATGATGATGATGGGGCCCAATGCAGGGTTTGAACTCATGACCCCTGAGATCAAGGCCTGAGCCGAGATCAAGAGTGGGATGCTAAACCAACTGAGCCACCCAGGCGCCCCACCATTTCTTTATATTAAATTCTCTCCGTTACAGTAACTGGTGTGGGCTCTGTCACACAGACAAATCCAGCTCATAGACATGGTGGCTTATGCCACAACCCTATAACCCCACCGTTTGTTCTTACGCTGAAACCGCACTGGAAGACGGGGGTGCTTGTTAAGTCTTGTATGTTTTCCAGACTTCAAAAACCATTACCACAGCCCTTCCAACATCATCCATATCCTTTAGTAGTTTGCGATCCTAATGGATTTCTTAACATCTTGTTGCCCCAGTAACGATGCTATATATTGACTTGTTATCTGTAAGGTTGTTCTGATGAACTATGGTGAGGGTTCCCGGGACATACTTTTATTACATACATATAATACGAGAGTGTGATAAAACCAATCATGCTTGGTTTCTTATTCAAGTGTCTGAGTCTTCATGATTTTGTTTTAGGATTTTATTTATTTATTTAGAGAGAGAGAGAGTGCAAGTTGGGGGAGGAACAGAGGGAGAGGGACAAGCAGACTCCATGCTGAGTGTGAGTTGGACACAGGACTCCATCTCAGACCCTGAAATCATGATCTGGGCCGAAATCATGAGTCAGATGCGTGGGGCGCCTGGGTGGCTCGGTCATTAAGTGACTGCCTTCGGCTCAGGTCATGGTCCCGGGGTCCTGGGATCGAGCCCTGCGTTGGGCTCCCTGCTCCGCGGGAAGCCTGCTTCTCCCTCTCCCACTCCCCCCTGCTTGTGTTCCCTCTCTCGAGGTGTCTCTCTCTGTCAAATAAATAAATAAAATCTTAAACAAAAAAAGAGTTGGATGCTTAACCAACTGAGCCACCCAGGCACCACAAGTCTTCTTTATATTTACAAGACCAATGACATTTGCTGATTTGAAGTTGGTTTGTTTTTCTTCAGGCTATTGAATTTGCAGATCTCTTTATATATGCTGGATTTTAGTCTTCTCTTGATTAGATCGGCTCCACCTGAGAAGCAGCACTGCCAAGGACATCCGAAGTCCTACCCGTGCAGAGCTCCTCCAGGAGTCAGAAACAAGAGACTGAGGCAAGAAAGGATGAAAAAGGACAAGTCAGAAACGAAGAATGGATCTTTATTGCTAATCTTCTGGCTGCCAACCCTCAGCCCCCCTTCCAGACTCCTCAGGGAATGTTGGAAATACGAAGCAGCATAAAAGGATGGACTTCTGGGGGAGGCTTCGGGATTTGTTTGTTGACCATCTGCTCCAGGATGTTCAGGATGGGACTGTGGGTCTCCTGGAACAGATCAGAACCCAGGAAAGCCTCCACTCGCTCACGCCATGCTGCCAGTCTCGGCCGTCCCTCAAACAGGTCATAGCCGACAGCCACAGGCTGCAGGGGCAAGGATGGGAAAGTGACAGTGATACTGAGGCCCCAATACCAGAACCACCAGCACAGGTGTCAGGTCCCCTACCCAACCCCCATGTGAGGCCCAGGGACTCGTGGCCAGCCTTGGGACCCGAGAGCACCAGCATGAAACACCACACCCAGGAGGGAAGCAGAAGGTCAGGGCAAGAGCACCAGTTCGGACAGAAACTTGCTCTGTGATTCTGGGCAAATTCCTAGCTGGCTCTAGGCCTGCCTCAGTGTTTCCGTCTAGTGAGGGTGGCGAGAGGAGGGATGCCGCCCCCAGGTGCTGCTCCACCCGCCAAGCTCACACCTGCAGCAGCTCCTCCAGCGCCATGAGGTCGGCCAGCGACACCTGCTGGCCTGTGAGGAAGGCCCGGTCCTCCAGGAACTTGTCCTCCAGCTGCTGCAGCATCCGGGCCATGGTGGTCCTGTTCCGCTCCACCTTCTCCTCAGGCACGTGGACCCCGATGAGTGGTGCCAACACCTGACGGGCAGAGGGTGGGCTCAGCCTGTGGTCCCTGCCTCCTCCCAGGTCCCGGACAGTCAACAACCCGCAGATGGCTCTCCTCACCTTGGTCCACAAGGGCACGCCAAAGACGCCACGGATGGAGTCAGCATGCCAGCCCAGGTACTCGTGGACCCGAGCACGGGCCCAAAGGTCAGATGGGTACCAGTGGTCCGCCGTCTGGTACTTAGAGCTCAGGTAGATCAGGATGGTGGAGCTAGAGGTAAGGGCAGGAGCCGTGGCTGTTAGGATCCTGCTTCGTGGCCGTTTTCCTCAGCAGCTGCCATCCCTCAGTGGGGCCCTGGGGCTTCTCTGTACTTGATGGCCTCAACTCCGCAGCTCCCCTGGGCAGTGCCTCCTCCCTCTCCCCTGACGGTACCCTCCCGAGTCTCCTTCCTTTGCTGTCTCAAGCATGGACGCTTGGCCAGACCGTGCGCTTTGCCCTTTAAGAGGCTCCGCTCCGTGGTACTACAGCAGCGCCCTGTGAGGTGGAGATTTGTTATCCCATTTGCATGTGAGGAAGCTAAGGTTCAGAAGAATTTAGTGACTTGTCCGAGGCCACACAGCTCAGAAAAGGCTCTCTGGGCCTCTGGAATCTTGCACCAAATCCCCTGCATGTCCAAGTGTATGGGTTGGGGACCAGGAGGGGAAGCATGTCCTCACGTCTGTCGTGGGTCCCCTCTGACAGGTCCCCCGGCCACCACGCCTGAGCTGCCTGACCTTTTGTCCTCTACCTGCCTGGTGGCCGGCCCTCACCATGAGTTGTCCCCTCAGGCCCTGGCCGACTCTAGAGAGTGGCCTGAGGAGTCAGGAGAGGACCCTTCAGCTTCCATGTGTTGACCCTGTTCCCTGTCCACCGGGACAAATGCCCCCATGTCCTCTTCTATGCCCCTCAGTCTGGGGGTGAGGAGGCCCTGGGGTCCAGAAGAGGAGGCTGAAGACAAGAGAGGTACAGAGCTATGTTGCATCAGCTTCCAGGCATCCCGGTCACCCCCAACCCCTCTCACCAGCACCAAGTCCGCTCTCACCACACGCCTCCCTCTGCCCTCACCTGCCACATGGGGTCGAAGGGCGCACACAGTGGGACAGCCAGAGGCCGGGGGGGGCTGGGGGCTTAGGGGAACGGAGGGAAGGAGAGCCCCTTTCAGTCAAGATGAAGTCACCAGCCTTGAGGGCAGGCACTTGCCACAGCTTATTAATCTGGAAGAACTCCTTGCTCAGGAGCTGCCCTGTGGAGCAAGAAGTTTTGCCCCTTCAGGGCAAGAACCACAGCCGCTGTGCCCTCCCTCTCCCTTCCCCAGCCAGAACCCCAAGGCCAGGCTGGGCGAAGAGAAATAGCTGGGGTTGTGGGGAGAGCTGTGTGGGGCCACGGCCGGGCCATGGGGCCAGGAATGGGGATGGCCTCCCTGCCCTGCCACCTCCCAGGGCGGCTGAGGGGTTTTGGTGGGCATGGCCAGGTGCTCCCGATGAGTGAAAGGGAGTTTTTCGGCCGGACCAGGGTGAGCAAGGGGAAGGGAGGCAAAGAGGCGAGGCTCAGCAATTTCCACCTCTAAACTCTCACATGGTGGCCAGCTCCTCAGGGTCTTTAGGGCCTTAGGACTTCAAATACAGGCTTTCAAGGCAGGAACTGTGAAAATCCAGTTCAGTATTTACTCCCCCATCCCACAGAGTAGAAGTAACATTATCCTCCTTCTCAGAGGGGAAAGCTAAATAGGGTTCAGAGAGGTCTTGCCACCTGTCCAAGGCCACACAGCAGAGGACGATCTCTGGTGGGAGATACCAGAGTAGAACAAAGGCAAAACAAACGTAGATAAAATTGAATTTCCTTACACCTTGCAGCCCTTTGATAGATACCTGAGACAGGCAGAGTGTGACATTCCTCCAAGAATTCACAACTGCCTTAATGTTAATGCTTTGCTAGAGGCAAAAAGCAACCTTAGCTCAACAATAGCCAGAACTCCAGGGTCCTGTTAGTCTTCTTTAAATCCCTTTAGGGACTCCCTTTGTCTCTACTCACCCCTCAATTCCAAAATATATAATCGGTTGCATCTTCCAAGCCAGTGCAATTCTTTCTCCCTACCTCCCCGAGCCTTAATAAAAGCACTTTTTTTTTTTAAGATTTTTTTAATTTAGGGACGGCTGGGTGGCTCAGTCGGTTAAGCGTCTGCCCTCGGCTCAGGTCATGATCCCAGGGTCCTGGGATCGAGTCCCACATCGGACTCCCTGCTCAGCGGGGAACCTGCTTCTCGCTCTGCCTCTGCCTGCCGCTCCCTCTGTTTGTGCTCTCTCTCTCTCTCTCTCTCATATAAATAAATTTTTAAAATCTTAAAAAAAAAAAAGACTTATTTATTTTAGAGGGAGAGAGAGCACGCACCCGAGCGGCAGAGGCAGAGGAAGAGGGAGAGAGAATATCAGACTCCACACTGTGCTTGGATCTTATGACCTGAGCCTAAACCAAGGGCCCAACACATTCAACTGACTGAACCACCCAATCCCTGAGAGTTTCTGGATTTCAGAGGGTTCGGGTAGAGAAAAGTTAAATGCTTCAATGTGTTCACAAAGGAATATTTTATCATATTTCTGTATATCATGGATATCTTAAAGTTTCCTTAATCTAGAAGAGTGAAACAGAGAACCAGCAACGTTTCAGACAAGAGTCACAAAAACTATCATCATCTTCCTCAGTTCATTTAGTTCTGTAATTAATTCTTGTTCAGTTGGAATCCAGCTTTTTTAGTTAGTTCTGGAAATTCTTATCCATTTTGGTTCTACGATTTTAAAGATATCAAAAGCCTGTGTTTGTCAAAAGCCCTTTTAAAGATTTTATTTATCTATTTGAGAGAGAGACAGAGAGAGCACAGGAGTCAGGGGAGGGGCAGAGGGAGAAGCAGACTCCCCGCTGAGCAGGGAGCCCGAAGCGGGGCTCGATCCCAGGACCCTGGGGTCATGACCTGAACCCAAGGCAGATGCTTAACCGACTGAATCACCCCGGCATCCCCCAGTGTACTTTTATTTTATTTACTTATTTGACAGAGAGAAAGAGAGAGCAAGAGCAGAAACACAAGCAGGGGGAGTGGGAGAGGGAGAAGCAGTCTCCCTGCTGAGCAGGGAACCCATGTGGAGCTCGATCCCAGGACCCTGGGACCATGACCTGAGCCGAAGGCAGATGCTTAACGACTGAGCCACCCAGGCGCCTCCACGTTTATAATGTTTATGCTCTTTTGTTTCGCACTTTTTTTTTTTAAGATTTTATTTATTTATTTGACAGAGAGAGAGACAGTGAGAGAAGGAACACAAGCAGGGGGAGTGGGAGAGGGAGAAGCCAACTTCCCTCTGAGCAGGGAGCCCGATGCGGGGCTCGATCCCAGGACCCTGGGATCATGACCTGAGTCGAAGGCAGACGCTTTAAAAACTGAGACACTTTAACAACTGAGCCACCCAGGCATCCCTCCAAAAGGATTTTCATATGTTAGAGTAGACATACAGGATTCTGACGGTCTGGCTATTGTCGAGCTAAGGTTGCTTTTTACCTCTGGTAAAGCACTAACGTTAATGGATTCCAGAAATGGACTCTCAACTCATTATGGTCAAATAATCTTTGACAAATTAGGAAAAAACATCCAAGGGAAACAAGACACTCTCTTCAATAAATGGTGCTGGGAAAATTGGACGGCTACATACAGAAGAATGAAACTCAACCATTCTCTTACACCACACACAAAGATAAACTCAAAATGGATGAAAGACCTCCATGTGAGACAGGAATCCATCAAAATCCTAGAGGAGAACATAGGCAGTACCCTCTTTGACACCGGCCACAGCAACTTCTTTCAAGACATGTCTCCAAAGGCAAGAGAAACAAAAGCAAAAATGAACTTTTGGGACTTCATCAAGATAAAAAGCTTCTTCTTCTTTTTTTTTTTTTTAAGATTTTATTTATTTATTTGACAGAGATAGAGAGAGCACAAGTAGGCAGAGAGGCAGGCAGAGGGAGAGGGAGAAGCAGGCTCTCCACCGAGCAGGGAGCCCGATGCGGGACTCCATCGTGGGACTCCAGGATCATGACCTGAGCCGAATGCAGTCGCTTAACCAACTGAGCCGCCCAGGCACCCAAGATAAAAAGCTTCTGCACAGCAAAGGAAACAGTCAACAAAACTAAGAGACAACCCACGGGATGGGAGAAGATATTTGCAAATGACATGACAGATAAAGGGCTGTATCCAAGATCTATAAAGAACTTCTCAAACTCAACACCCCAAAAAACAAATAATCCAGTCAAAAAATGGGCAGAAGACATGAACAGACACTTCTCCGAAGAACACATACAAATGGCTAACAGAGGGGCGCCTGGGTGGCTCAGTCGTTAAGCGTCTGCCTTCGGCTCAGGTCATGATCCCGAGGTCCTGGGATTGAGTCCCGCATCGGGCTCCCTGCTCGGCAGGGAGTCTGCTTCTCCTTCTGACCCTCCCCCCCATGTACTTTCTCTCTCTCTCTTAAATAAATAAAATCTTTTTAAAAATATTTTATTTATTTATTTGACAGTGAGAGAGCGCGAGAGAGGGAACACAAGCGGGGGAGAGGGAGAGGGAGAGGCAGGCTTCCCGCCGAGCAGGGAGCCCGATGTGCGGTTCGAACCCAGGGATCATGACCTGAGCGGAAGGCTGACGCTTAATGACTGAGCCACCCAGGGGCCCCTCTAGCCCAGTCTTTGAGAGTAACCCAGCCCTCTGACCGGGACCCAAGCAGGTGGATCAGAAGGCTTCCCTGGGATACCTGAAGTTGGAATTCAGAAGAGAGGAGGGAAACGTGGGCATCATCAATGATGCGGGAAACAAAGGCAGAAGAAAAATTATTAAATTTACTTAGAGCCCGCTGACAAGTCCTTGAAACAGGCAGAGTGACATTCCTCTAGGAACTCAACTGCCTCAATGTTAATATCTTGCTAGGGGCAAAAGGCAATCCTAGCCTGACCGCCCCCCTCCCCCCACCTTCCCTGGGATCCTGTAAGTCTACTTTAACATATAAAAATTCCTTTAAAATTTTCCTTAATCTCTGGAGCGCCTGGGTGGCTCAGTCTGTTAAGCGTCTGCCTTCGGATCAGGTCATGGTCCCGGGGTCCTGGGATCGAGCCCCGCGTCGGGCTCCCTCCTTCATGGGGAGTCTGCTCCTCCCTCTCCCACTCCCCCTGCTTGTGTTCCCTCTCTCGCTGTGTCTCTCTCTCTCAAATAAATAAATAAAATCTTTTTAAAAATTTTTCCTTTATCTCTAAACCCTCCCAAGACATGTGTTGGGAATCACCGCCCAAGCATACGGCCCACCGATATACATCGGAAGGGTCCCGTGATTAAGGTTTTATAAGATGGCAATAAATGACATTTTCCCAAAATAGCTAGCCCCCTCAAGGTCCTGGAAACCTTTGCTTCCAAATTCCTTAGAAACATGCTATCCCTAACCCCCTTCCAAATTGAAAGTCTATAATGGACCATTCCTCATGCCCCCAGTGCAGCTCTTTTTGCACCAAAGACATCTCAAGAATTCTTTCTTGGCTGTTGGCTTTGAACCCTAACATCTTTCCTACAGCATATGGCACCCAACATGGGGCTTTGAGTCCAGAGTCTCATCTGAACTCTGAGCCTCGGTGCCAACATGGTGAGTACTTACTTCCTCTTCTCTTCCTTTATTTTCATTTCAGGGGCTTTTCAAGTAGTACAGTCTTTTTTTGTTTTTTTTTAAGGATTTTATTTATTTATTTGAGAGAGAGAATGAGACAGAGAGAGCATGAGAGGGGGGCACACTCCACCAACGGAGCCAGCCAGGCTCCCCTAGAAGTCCTGTTTTGTTCTTTTTCATGTCTGCCGTGTCATTTCAATAGTCTTTTTATTCCTTGCTCTTGTGTTAAAATTTATTTATCTATGGGGTGCCTGGGTGGTTCATTCAGTTAAACGTCCGACTCTTGATTTCAGCTCAGGTCATGATCTCAGGGTTGTGAGGTGGAGCCCTGCGTGGGGGTCTGTGCTGGGCATGGAGCTTGCTTAAGAGTCTCTCTCCCTCTCCCTCTGCCCCCCTCCACCCCTGCCGCACTCTGTCCCTCAAAAAAAAAAAAAAAGCTACTTGTTTTTTAGAAGTCTTTTTTTTATTCCGTACTTTAGTAAAACCACTTTTTTGCACCCAAGATGTCTCAGGAATTCTTTCTTGGCCTTCAGCTTCGAACCCTAAAGTCTTTCCTACATCCATGAGCTGGGGCCGCTGCTG